GGGGGGGGGGGGGGGGGGGGGGGGGGGGGGGGGGGGGGGGGGGGGGGGGGGGGGGGGGGGGGGGGGGGGGGGGGGGGGGGGGGGGGGGGGGGGGGGGGGGGGGGGGGGGGGGGGGGGGGGGGGGGGGGGGGGGGGGGGGGGGGGGGAGTGGGGTGTTCAAGTAAGCAGCTGGACCCACAAATCTGTATCTGAATTTCCCCAAATAGACTGCAATGTGACCTTTGAAGTAGAAGCACCCTGCAGTTTGGGAATTGTTTGGTGTTACGAAGAATTCAATGCAAACATATTCCATCTTCAAGCTTGCTTGAATTGAAAGCAGAACGAGCGAATCTTGGTGGTAGCATGCTTGTTGTGGATTTAAAGTAGAAAACTTCAATACTTGGATGAAAGTTTCTCTGTGATTTGACTAGGAAGAGTTGTTAATTTGTTTTGAACATATATAGAGTGATCAAGACAAGGTGAGAACGAAAGAATATCAAAATAGGAGTCCGGGAGACCTTTATTCGAGGACTCTTGTGGGCTTGCCAAATTGGTTGGAACATACTCCTTTACTTATTTGGCCTGACTTCTGGTTGCAAAGATCCACTTGTTTGAATGGAAGATAATAGAGTAGAAAACAAGTGGTCAAGGAAAACGGAAAACCAAATGCTGTGACCAAGAAAATAGACAGACCAAAAAAGAAAACTCCTGATGAGAAACTTTTGATCACTTGTTCTGCATCACTGATCCAATGCAATAGCTAAGACATTAGACCACCACGAAAGTACATTTTGGTATGTACATAAGATACGCAACTTTGTATAGGCACTTCAAGTCCCTTTTAATTGACTCTTTAATTAGCAATATCATCATACAACTTTACTGGTTTGTATCTATTACTGCACCACCAAACAGGAATTTGCGTATTCTATATGAATTGTCTTTAGTTAGCACTTGTACCTCTCTTAATATTAAGAGAAAATGTCAACCAAATTATTTATACTTGCTACAAAAATGATGGTATATAGTCATTTTTATAGGTTTAAGTCAGTCTAGCAAATCTGGAAGATATTAGTATTCAAGTAAAGGATGTTGAAGACTTTGGAAGATTGATGCTTCAAGTTTGTTTTCCGGAAGATATTAGTATTCAAGTAAAAGATGATGGAAGAGTTTACAAGAGTGATCCTTCAAGTTGTTTTTGGTCAAGTGACTGACCAAGGAGCTTGATATTATTTTTCCTATGCCGAAAGCCTTGCTCACAGCCTGTTCGAAAATCCAAAAGTCCCAAGAAGATTAGTATGCTCATATGGATTTTTCTATACAAGGGTCTAAATACAGCAGAATAACTTGAAAAGAAAAAGACTAAAATATTGAAAATACCTCTAAACTTTTCAATATTTCACTAATATTCCTGAACTTTTTTTTAAAATACGCTTACCGCTAGTTTTTTATGAACACTGTTACTATTTTGTTTAACAAATGCCTCTGAACTTTCTAAAGTTTCACCGATACTCTTAAACTAAAAAAAAAAAGGTTAAAAGTACCCTTACTATCGGTATATGGATGGTAAAGAGAATTTTATATGTTGAGTTTGTGTTCATCAACTCGAAACATCTAACTCATGTGTCAGATGGCTATTTGAGAAGTAGAGCTTGATTGATACCTTAAGCAAGGAAGAAAGTTCCTTAAACCTAAATCTACAAGGGGAGAATGGAAGGAGGAGGAGGTGTTTGGGTGTAGATGAATATTTTTGTCTTTATGCATTTTTTGAACTTTTCTGAAAAGTTGGTATTAATGCCATATTTGAAAATTCAAAGATATACTTGAAATGCAGTATTAACGGTTTCCATCCATCCATCCATCTAGATTTGAATGAAATAAAATATTTTTATTCCAATTATTCAAGTGTAAGAAAATTATGGTCATCGTGAGAAAATTATGAGAAAACAATGTAGGTCAGCTTTCATGTGAACTCCCATAGGCTTGTTTGGAGCACACTAAAAATAAATGAATAAATAAATAAAAGAAGAAGAAGAAGGGAAAAAGAATGTAGGATCTGGATCAAGAACAGTAGACTTTTATCTACTTTCTGACTATGTTATAACCTTATTGTCTCATTCAGGTTCAGCTTTGTGGGACTCCAACAGCTGTACTGATATACGTATCACAAAGGCTTAGCTGCCAAATCCGGCTTTGTTATATTTTCACCCAGATGATTAGGTTTTCTAATTAGATTGATATTCAATACATTCAGACAAATAATCTATGCTATTAAATGGTGTGCTCATGTTGTATGTTGACAAGGCAAAAAGTAAGGGGAATGGTTTAGATGTTTCAGGCATGTCTCTAACAAAAGTGATCAACTATTGGTTTTGTTATGTGCTTAGAGTCATTAAGAAGTTTTTACTTGGCCACAATTTTCAGCTCAAATGGGTCCTCTATTGGCTGATTTTCCAAAGAGTTAGATGACTTTGTTTACCCAATATTATATCCTAAATATCGAAAGATAATCTGGAGACAGGACCATGTGATACAGTAGACTTCACAAGCACTTGCCTTCTAGTAGGCCTCATTCAAAGATTTCTCACTTCCCATTTCTTAGAACAAGCCAATGTCTGCATGTTTCTTCTATATGTACATGTTTTCAAGTCCCAAGCAACCCAGATCTCAAACTTTCAACCGACCTCCAAGTTTTCTCATTCTAAATACTTTGACTTCCTGTTCTGAATAACAAAACCATGGGTTTTCATTTCGCGAAAATTGTAAATTCTGTGCAAAAGCTAGGACTTTCTTCTCTAGCAACAAACCAAGAATCATCACTTGTCCGCAAAGGTTATTGTGCAGTTTATGTTGGAGAGAGCCAAAGGAAGCGATTTGTGATTCCAATAGCTTACTTGAATCGACCATTTTTCAAAGACTTGCTCAGTCAAACTGAAGAAGAATTTGGTTACAATCACCCTATGGGAGGTCTCACCATTCCCTGCAATGATGATACATTCATTGAACTCATCTCTCATTTGAATTAGTTGTGAAAGAAGATATATTGGTTAGACACAATCTGGTAGATTCGATTTTACCATTCTTCTGTACAGATTTTTGAGGAAGAGATAAAATGCCTCCCCAAATGGTGTATACTGGATTAGATATTCAAATCTTAGAAAATGAAGATATTCCATTCAAGTTCTCTTTACATGTTTTTTCTTTTTTGGACTCCTATGCATTATTTTTTTCGTTAGCATAAACGTAGATGGATAGTAATGTTATTCTTCTGCATGAATTTCATTTGAAAAATAGTTTCAAAGGACTGGTGTAATCACCTTCATTATAGAAATTAGAATATATGAAGTCTACATAAAATAGAACATAGTTCAATTTTTTATGAACCCATATGAATCTTGTATTATTCTCTTACATATAACTTTTTTCTTTTTTTGTCTATTAATCTGTTTATCGCCTTTGGTAGAACTTCAGTTTCATAGTTCTTCAAATCACCAGCATCCTAGTAGACAAATACATTGTATAAGCATCGGTAAATTATATCTTAAAGTGATTGTTTCCGGTTATTCTTATATTTCTTTTTCAATGTAATTAAATTTTGAGCAGCTTCCATGCCAGCCGATATGGATTAAACCTGCAGTGCATTTTGTTTAGTGAAACTTGAAACATGTGGAAGTGTAATAATAAAAAGAGCCTGTTTCCCTTGAACCCGTCTACCATAAGATTTTTTTTTCTTCTCTCTCTCTCCTCCAATTTTTTTTTTTTATGACATTGAGAACACAGCAAAGCACCGTAATAATGGAGATTAAAATTGATTTCCGTCACATACTAGATTAGATTTTCACAATTTCAGTGTTAAAAAAATCCTATTGGTTAGGTCGTGATAACATATTAGATACGATTTCAGCACATAAAGAGAGTTAATTGCTTCAAGATGACAAGTCAAAAAGCTTTGGTTTCTGGGAGGGGCACTTTAAAGTTCTCCTTATTTATTTATTATTATTATTCTTATTTACTTAAGTTCAATATATTATTTTCAATTGTTTCAATCTGGGACTCCTACTCAAGATTCATCCATGTAATTGTATTCAACATAAGAATATGAGAACTTCGATGAAATTCAGAGAGGAAAATGGCATATATATTGAATGCGTTGATGGGGAATAGTTTTCTCTTTGAAAAAAAAGTCACTTTACTGCTCCGTGCAATTGCAGTGTTTATGTGCTATTGCCGTTTCAGGTGGGAAGATCAGTTTTCCACCCTAAATACAGTCATTTTGATGTACTTCCTATACATTGATATTCTACTATGACTAGGACAAGTTGAAAAGAAAAAAAAAAAAAAAAAACAAGGTTGGCAAAACTGTGTGGATGGTTGATCTTTCTTCTCCATCTCTCATAATATCTGCAACCTAGAAGTGAGATCAATGAAGGTCTCTTCTCTGCAGGGAATTGTCAGACCACCCATTGGATGATTGAATCCGAACTCTTCCTCGGCCCTTTTTAGTAGGTTTAGAAAAGAAGGATGGTTCAAATAAGAAATTGGAACCACAAATCTCCTTGTTTGGATTTCCCCCACATAGACTGCAATATGTCCTTTGGGAATATTGGACTTTACTTTTGAAGAAGCGCCCTGCATTTTGAGAATTTGCTTGGTATGAAGAAGAATTGAAGGCAAACGGATTCCCATTTTTAAATTTTCTTGAAGTGAAAGAAGAACAAGCAACTGTCAGTCGTTGTGGCCGATGTTGATCTTGAAGTAGAAATCTGGAATACTTGGGATGATAATCTCTCTGCAATTCGAGTTGGAAGATGGTTGTTCATTTGGTTTTTATGCATATATATCGAGTGAGGAAGAGGAGGTGTGAACAAAAGAATATCAAAGACGGTGTCTGGTTGGACCTACATCATCAAGGCTCACATGGGGTTGCAAAATTGGTTGAAACACACTCGTTTTCTCATTTGGCGCAGCTTCTGATGGTACACATCCACTGTTTAATGGGAAGATATTAGAGAAGAAAACAAGTGGTCAAGGAAAACCGAAAATCAAATGCTGTGACCAAGAAAATAAACAGACAAAAAAAATCAATGTGATAAGAAACTTTCAATCACAAGTTGCTGCATCATTTACCCAATGCAATAGTAGCTGAGAAACGAGGGCACCACAAAGTACACTCCAGATTGTACATCAGGTACTCACCTTTGTACAATAAACTGTCTTGGCTCTCGTATAGGCACTTCAAATCCTCCTCGCTAACTTCCTGTTCAGCAATATTATTATAACTATACTGGTTCGTATCCATCAGATGCCCCCACTGAACAGGAAACCGAGTTTTCTAATGTCTACAAGCACTGTCCTCAACATCAAGAGTTATTGGAGTAAGCTTGCACCATGCTTGATGTTTTCATATTGTTCAGTTAGTCCATAACTTAAGAATGACAATCTTTTGAAAAGCAATAGTTTAAGAAATGGTCAATCTATATTTTTAATTATTGACTAAAAAATGCTTGATTCCTAATAGATGCTTATTTTTTTCTTATTAAGATCTCATTAAATGTTCAGAACTTGGACATCCACTCATTGAGAGGGAATGTTGCCGGTCAGCTTTCATGTGAACTTCAAAAAGGCAGGATCTCTCAATCTGCATCTGGTAAAATTTGCTCCACTTCCAGCTATGTTATAACCATCTTGAATATGTTTTCTGTCTAGGCTTATCGATTTGGTTTGTGAGACTCCAATAGCTGTACTAATATGTCATCAAAGATTAGCTGCCAACTTTGGTTTTGTTCATATCTTGAGCCAGTTGGTTTAGATTTTTTTAATTATATAGGCTTTCTTTCCATTTAGACAAACAATATATTCCATTAAATGAATGTTTCCCTGCTATTCGTTGGCATGGCAAATAATTAGGGGGACGGTTTTGTTGTCTCAGCCATTTCTCTAACAAAAGTATTATCGATTGCTTATGTAATGTGCTAACTAACGAGCTTTCACTCGGCCACAACTTTCAGCTCAAATGGGTCCAGTATTTGCGGGGTTTACCGAAATGTTAGGTGACTTTGTTTTCCCGATATTATTTTCCAAGTAGCTGAAGATTATTATCTAGAGTACAATACCATGTGACACAGTATACTTCACAAGTACATGCCTCCTAGTTGGCCCCATTCGTAGATGTCTCACCACTCATTTCTTAGAGCAAGCTAGTGGCCACGTCTCCCTTTTTAATCTATATATACATGTTTTCAATTCCCAAGCAACTCAATTCTCAAACTTCCAGTTCACCACCAAGTTTTCCCTTTTTCTCTCAACTGCTATTGTGCTACTTCTACATTCCAAAATTCAAGACCCTTCAACTTCCTGAGAGAAAAACAAAAAACCATGGGTTTCCATTTGGCAAGAGTGGTAAATGCTGTGCAAAATATTGGACTTTCTTCTCTAACAACACACTACAAATCGTCGGCAATCCGCAAAGGTTATTGTGCAGTTTATGTAGGGGAAAGCAAAAAGAAGCGGTTTGTGATTCCAATCACTTACTTGAACGAGCCATTTTTCAAGGACTTGTTAAGTCGAGTTGGAGAAGAATTTGGTTACAATCATCCTATGGGAGGCCTTACTATTCCTTGCAGCGATGATACATTCCTTCATCTCATCTCTCGTCTAAGTGAGCCATGAGAAAAAATATATTTGTTAGATTAGTCACTTGTAGATCAGGGTCATTCCATTGTACACTTTTTTGAGGGAGAGTCGATGACCTCCCCAGTTAAATTCATTGGTTAGTATTACCTAAGAACATCAAATTCAAGTTGCCAAATACAAATATAAACTATCATTATGTCATTCATTGTGATGGAAGAATGCCAATCCTTTTTCTTTTTTTTTTTTTTGTCAACCTTTCCCCTTTTCATGTTATACTTGAGGATGTAGTTCAACGTGAATGGTTTATTTTCAATTCATAATCTACATTCATTCATCATTTTTCTAAATATTTGAATTTGTAACAGAGATTTTGAGCAATCAAGGACCATTAAGATACCAGTTCCATTTTATACATGGACTTCATTTTGGCAAACAGTTCTAGAGAATTATTGATTGCATCACAAGTTTGATCATTTAACTATGGCATATTCCTTCCAGATACTTGGCTCTAGCATGACAGCCAAATACAACAATCAAATCTAGAGTTAGTAACTAGAATAGTTTGTTTAGATGACTTTTGGCCTAGCATCTCATTTCATTGTATGAACTGGCAATACAGATGAAAATTTCTTGTATTAGCTGACTAAATTTGGTATTAAAGTCAAGTCTGACATTGATGGGTAGCTTGGTGGAACAAGTTCCTGTGCTGTGGTCACTCTGGTTTTCTTTCATTATCATCGGAACCTTCCTTTGTCATTCAAGAAACATGATGACATTAGCTGACAGGAATTTTAATTTCAGAGCTTTCATGGATATAATAGCTTATAAAGATCTTGTGGAGGAGACGCGCTAAAGGTAGGTAGAGGATATTGAGACACTGTAAAGAGATCTGATAAAGAGCTTTGCCTTCAGCTGTTTATTCCTGTTACACTTAGTGAAACGATTTATTTAGTACAGAACTTAATCAAAGCATGACATCTCCATCTTGAAAGCAGCAAGTTTATTTCATGCATCTTCTGCTCAACTCTGACAGCATATATCTCTTCACAAATCACTACATTTGAAAAGGGTAATATTCTCTCTGTAATACATTTATGATTTCTTGGCCTTTGCTGATATATATATCTCTTGGCACAAGCAAGCAAGCTAAAACGTGCATCTTTATTTCCATTCTAAGCATTCTGTTTGTGGAATCATATTCATATGGTTCTAGAGGGCACATGCAACATGATGTCCTAAAAGTTGAGTTTGCTATTAAATTAGTTCTAATTTTAAAACACCTTTTTAAGATCAAATTGTTTCTAAGAATAGCTATAGATGTCTGGAAGCTTATCCACTATTCTAAGGCCATCTACTTATAATTAACAATGGAGGCTTCCCTAATTTAAACTGGATTCATTCCGGTTTGTTCTTCCATAATGTAACAGCTCAAGTCCATCGCTAGCAGTATTGTCCTATTTAGACTTTTCATTCTGGGATTTCTCTCAAGGTTTTAAAACGCGTCTGTTAGGGAGAGGTTTCCACACCCTTATAAGGGATGTTTCATTCCCCTCTCCAACCAATGAGAGATCTCACAATCCACCTCTTTTGGGGGCCCAGCATCCTCGCTGGCACACCGCTCGGTGTCTAGCTCTAATATCATTTGTAACAGCTCAAACCTACTTCTAGCAGATATTGTCCTATTTGAGATTTCCCTTCTAGGATAATCCTCAAGATTTTAAAATGCGTATGTTAGGGAGAGGTTTTCACACCCTTATAAAGAATCTTCGTTCCCCTCTCTAACCGCTGTGGGATCTCACACCGAACTTGTAGGTTTGCTTTGTTTTTAACCCATACACATGACATTTACTGTATTTGGCTGAAAATTCCATGTGGCTCGTCAGACAAGTATGTCTCACACCACGTCCCATATAATTAATGCATTTAATAGCATTTCAATTTTTTTATCAATATATTGAGTCATTCTTTGCATTTCTTAGCACTAAATATCTCCCTCCGATCATAATTCATAATCATTCTCAAAACTCACTATTTGGACAGACAACCATGGATATTTGCTGAGCTCGCCCTCCATTGATCAGGAAATCATGTGGCTCATACAACTGCACAACTCCCCATACCCTTTTTTGAGTCTATGCAGAGTAGAAAGAAGATTTTTCAACTTACTTCACCAACCACCACTGTGAGTTCATATGGTCCCAACTTTCTGCGTTTAATGTATTTCTGCTTCTTTTGCTACTTTATTATAGGGAAAAAAAAATGGCACTGCTTGAGATGAAAGCAAATATCCTTTTTATATGTTTCAATCAACAGTAAAAAGAGTCAGAATCATGTAGCATTCATTTCCACATGAGAGAGAATCTGCTTTCTGTTGCCTTTGTATGTAAACGTTAACTCATACAATTGTCTTTTTTGGCTTGCTTTCAATTTGCACCCACTCCCAGTTGCTTTCCTTGGACACCATTCACATATTTGGTCTCGCCCCACCCTCCATATAACCAAGAGCCTCCTAACTGTGCCCCTAAATTTAAGGTTCTCACCCACCTAGCCCTTTCGAATCTTCTGCTGGTCCTCAAATTGACCAATGGCTGATTCTGTAGGACACTGTTCAGGACCAAAATGGAACACTGATGCCCTCTCAGCCCTGAGCCCAAACTGCAAGTTGAAAGACAGAGCCATGTGAAACCCTTGTGAACTCTGCTCTAACCAGACCCCAACCCAACCTGCTTCTTCCTCCATTGCCTCAGAACTTTGATATCTTCCTTTTCCACCAATTTATCAATATAAATACGGACATAAACTTGTGGTTGCATTGCACTTTCAGTTCATTGTTCATTAACGAAAAAAAACTGACATGGGAATCGTTTACAAAGTGTCTTTATAACACCCAAAATCTACCTAGTAGATATTGTCCTCTTTGGACTTTCCCTTTCGGACTTTCCCTCAAAGTTTTTAAAACGCGTCTGCTAGGAAGAGGTTTCCACACTCTTATAAAGAATGTTTCGTTCTCCTCTCCAACCGATGTGAGATCTCACAGTCATTCTGAAATAAAGTTCTTAAACGGTGCATTTCGAGGGAAAGAAAGGCAATTTCAGCTTCTTGGAGGTTCCCAAAGGCTTCTCTGCAGTTTATGTGTGGAGAAATTCTTAAGAAAGTTCTTAAGCTGAAGAATTTAGCTTTGGTCTTCTAATTGGCAGCCTAACTATTGCATGTAGAGAAGATACTTTCATTGAAGTCACTTCTAGGCCTTGAAAGGTTACTGTGATTTCTTTTCCATGATTTTTTCCCGTACCTTTGATCTTTTTCTTAACCAAATTTATGTTACTTGTTCTTTGGATCAACAATGTTAAGGATGGAGCAACGAGCAAGTCATCTGATAATGAATGTTTTGTCTACACATTTAATTTAGAGGAATTGAACATAGAGATGTCCACGGTGCAGAGGAGCCTTATCCATTCTTGTCTCCTATTTCAATTTTTATTTTCACAAAATTTTCCATTTATTTTTTCGCAGATAGAGTTCCATACATGATTTTTTTTTTTTTCATCTATAT